GATTACAGCTCGGGGTTCGAGCACGAGTGATTTCCAGGGTTCACGAATTAGCGAGACATACGAGGTGAGTCTTCTCACTATACTGTACCTGGAAGGGTTTGACTGTGTGACCGGAAGGTCGAATATGATATGAGATATATGCCTTATGTGTAATAAGTTATTTGTTATATGTGCCATGTATGGTATGCTTGATATGGGCCGGAAGGCAATATGTATGGGCCGGAAGGCGTGGTAATATGGACCGTAAGGTTGACGTGGGTAGGACCGGAAGGTTTACCCAGGCGGGACAGAAGTCCCCTGAGACACATGGATCGGAAGGTCAGGGCCTGGAAAGGCGTATGTGCGTAGGTTGTATTTTGGGGAACTCACTAAGCATTTATGCTTACAGTTGTTGTGTTATGTGTTTCAGGTACTAGCGAGGACCGTAGGAAGGCGCCGGCGTGATCGTACACACACTCGAGGAAACCATTTTGTGATCTTTGTTATGTAATCGGTCGTGACTAAATTGTTACATTGGAACCTAAATTTATTACTCGATGTTTTGATGATTGTAAAAATGAAAAAAAAATGGTTTGAAATTTATGACGTTACAGTATGGGCCAGACAAACTGAAGTCCCGGTGCGGGCGGTCTAGTTATACTGAAGACTTAGGGAGTGGACCAAGTGGACTGAAGGCCCGGTGCGGGCGGATTAGTCACACTATAGACTCGAGATGCATGGCTGTTCTGTATTGTTGATATGATATGGTTATGATATTGTTGAGGTTGGTATTTTGGGGGTAACAGACTAAGCTTTCGGGCTTACAATTTCAGTTTATTGTTTCAGGTTCATCAGATGACCGTGGAAAGACGAAGGCGTGACCGTACACTTTCTCGATTGATGATTATGATTTCTGGGAACTCTAATGTCTAAATTGTTTTGAAAACAAATTGTAATAACTGAATGGTTTTGTATGAATTAAAAAGTTTTAAATTGACTCGAATTTTATGGATGTTATAGTGACTCACTCACTACCACGCTGTGGTAACCGAAGAGTTGACCGTTTGACTTTGACTTTCGTTGAATATCTCGAAATACCAATGTACTTTCCTCCCATTATTCAATAAGATTCATGTAAGTTGTGCCATAATATATGTAACAAGGCTCACACAAGCTGTGGAACTAACTAAGAGTGACTAACAAGTTAACTAATTGAAAAAATATAGATGAAATGACAAAAAAATGTCATTATTCTCTAATATTCTACCTCAAGATGGTGTTGAAGAATAGATGTTCTTTAATTCCATCTTAAACACAAAAGGTGTAGTCTTGGATGATGGTAAGGGTTTAGTGTGCATGCTAGCTAGTTACAATGCATATCTTATCGAAATGAGTTTAATATTTTTATCAAAGACCTTTTGTACTACAAAATGACAATCGATCTCTATGTATTTTCTATGCTTATGGAATGAGGGATTGGAAGTAATTTGCAAAGCTACATCATAGTCACAAAAACTGAAAACTCTAAAGTTGCATCATTTTGATGAATATCAAAATCATTGAATAGTTGTTTAATCCAAATTAATTTTCATGTTGTAGAAACTATAATAGGGCATTTAATGTTATACGAGCTACTCCTTATTTGTGTGTGTGTGTGTGTATATATATATATATATATATATATATATATATATATATATATATATATATATATACAAGAAGCTGCAATATTGTCTCAACAATGGGAAAATGACTTGGGAGGGTAATTAACTTTTCGATAAGTTCACATCTGGGTAATTTTTTTTGTACACATCTAGGTAACAAACTTGTTGGAAGTGTTCACATATGACCATTATGACCGGCTATAGTAGGTTACATCCTAGATGTGAACGCTTTCAACAAGTTCCTTACCTAGATGTGTATAAAAAATTAGTTACCCAAATATGAACAAAAAGAAAAGTAATAGTAAATTACACGAATGGTCTCCCTAGTTTGGGGCAATTTGTGTTTTTGGTCCCTAACTTATTTTTTCTAACTCGGATGGTCTCTACTGTTTATTTTTGTTGCGCGTTTGGTCCTTGTCTTACCTAGAAAGACTATTGTGCCCTTATTAATTTATTTTTTAATTAATTTTCTTATTTATGTGTTTATTTTTTATATAGTAAAAAAAATTAGTAGACCTCACATGTTTGTATCTTCTCATCTTTAGTGCTCAATATCATTTCATTTAATAGTTGACACACCCCTTTGTTTGAAAAAAAGCCTCCGCTTTGATTGATACTTTTTTCACGAAAAGCAAACATGAGATAACAAATCCAGTGTTTCACTAAGATTTCGAATAGTGATCTCGAATTCAAGTTGATTCTAGTTTGTCTCTTCCCCAGAGAAAGACGATCAAACAATTCTCATTCATGGTCCTTGCGGATCGGATCATCCCTATAATATACATTGTCTCTTCATCTTTAGTGGGTGAGGAGATACAAATATGTGAGGTTTATTATTTTTTTTAAATATATAGAAAATAAATACATAAATAAGAAAATTAATTAAAAAATAAATTAATAAGGGTACACTAGTCTTTTTACGTAAGTCAGGGACCAAATGTGCAACAAAAATAAAAAGTAAAAACCATCCAAATTAAAAAAATAAGTTATGAACCAAAAATACAAATTCCCTCAAACCACATGGACCATTCGTGTAATTTAATCTTACTTTTCGTTTTGTTCATATTTGAGTAAATATTTTTTTTGTATACATCTAGGTAACAAACTTGATGAAAATGTTCACATCTAGGATGTAACCTGCTACAGCCAGTCTTAATGGTCACGTGTGAACATTTCTAATAAATTTGTTACCTATATTTGTACAAAAAAAAAAAAATAATTACCCAGATATAAACTTACTAAAAAATTAATTACCTTCCCAAATCATTTTCCACAGCTAAATATTTTTAATGTGGCCTCTTATACTTTCAAACTTTGGTCAACAAGGGTTATTGCTACTAGAGTTGGCAACTATAACCCTAGCATGGAAAGTGGAAATATTTTTTTAACATCATTTTTTTCTTTTTATTTTATCAACTTTAAGGCAGGGACGGATGTTAGTGGGATATTTGGGGTCTCGGGCCACTCTGCTCAATTTCCGGCACGCAATGTAAATTTTTTTTTTCTCTTAGGTGCACCCGCTTGAAAGACGAGGGACACCCCTAATAAAACAGTCTACATCCTCCACTGCTCTAAGGACACCTTAAAAACATTAGATTATAACATGTACATTAAATAATTTAATAATAAAATAAAATTATTTCACTATTTATATATACTTTTATAAATAATGATTACCATCTCAATTACCCAAAATAGTATGGGTGCTACTTGTTTGGTGCAGATTTGTCGAGGGACGCATATTGCAAAGGTTGAAACTTGAAGAGGCAGGTTTGTGATTAAAGTAAAGTTGATGAGAAGAGTACTGAGGATAAGCTGAGAAGTACAAGTAAGAGAAGCACCTGTGGAGTTTACTTGGAAGCTGAAGTGTATATGAGGAAATAGTTCAAGGAGGTGTATATGAAAGTTCAACTTGTTCTTAGTTAATATTTGTTATATTTACATACTTATTCATGTCTTTGAAGAAATTGGAGTCATTCTTATTGAAAAAACTATTTTTTATAATTTTTTTTGAACCAAAGAATTATGTATTTGATGACATAAAAAAAACGGCGAATGATGTGAAATTGCAACATGTTTACATTTGATGACATCAATGTTGATGGTATATATTTTTTTATAGTAACATATTTATGTTTTTGTTTTGAATAAAAGAAATTTAGGTTATTTCATATAGACTATATAAAAAAATATGAGCCTTTTATGAATAAAATTAAAACATATTATTATACAAATAAAGAATAAAATATATTCCATAATCCATATATGAACAAAATCGTAGCTCCTAGTAAATCCGGTTTCTTATGTTCATAATTCTGCTGGCGTCTCTTTTTCCGAAAGAAGCGATATCAAAACCCCAATGCAATCTCCATCTCTCTCTCTCTCTCTCTCTCTCTCTCTCTCTCTCTCCATATCTATACGAATAAATCCATCATCATCCTCATAGTCTGATTTATCGAAGGCTTCAATCCTCTGCTCGGATCTTTCGTTGTAAGTAATAACAAATATATTTGTTTCGCTTTAATACAGGCTAGTTTGCTGTTTCTGTACCAATTTTTCTATCAAAGTATCTGAATAAGGAAATTCCTGTTCAATGTCGTTTATGTTCTTCTTCTTCTTCTTCTACGTTTAGAATTCATTTATGGGCCTATTTAGAATGTTTAATCGCATTTTGGTGTTGGATTCTGTATTTATGGGAGTTTAATGTTGGTTCAAGTGGGATTCTTTTAATTTTTACATTGTTGAAAATTTTGATCTACACATAGTCATGTGTACTCATGCAAAATATCTCCCAAGATTCTTTTTCTTTTCCCTTTTATTTCAATGACGTTTGTGAGTTCACTCTTGATCTCCTCTTTTTGTTATAGAAATGCAAATTTGTGGATCGTTTGACTTAGTTGGCATATTTTTTTTGTAACGATCATTGTTTATTTTAGTGTATGATCTTTCATTCGTGGGGTTTTGGCGTTATGTGATTCTTGTTTTCTTATTCTATCATAGGTTTTTGAGCATTGTAAAAAGGATGTTTCATCTAGTTTTTTGTGCATTATCAGATAGGGTTAGTGATTTTGCATTTAGGGTATTTCCATTCTTGAGACGCCGATTTAGATCTATCATAATCCTCGGAGTTTCATCCAAGGATTTAGTTCGAACTACTTCAGATTATTAATATTTATTTATATAATAATATAATAATTACTAAGGAAACTATTAATATAAGTATTTATCGTTACTTTCCTTTGGGATAAGTATTCTATCGGGATAAACATCTATCTTTAAAATAATGTAAAACAGGATGGATTGTTAGTTTTATTCTTTCTAAATTTGAATTTGCAGAAAGAATTGATTTTCAATATTATGATAAAGACGACACTTTCTTCGATCTCCCACCAAATTTTAGGCCTCTCAACGGTTAGTCAATGGAACCACGCCATTCGAGAAGCTGTAAACCAAGCTCAATTTCAAAACGCCCTTTTCTTTTTCCACCAAATGATGCAAAAGGGCCTACAACCCAACCATTTAACCTTCCCAATCATCGCAAAAGCATGTGGGAAACTCAATAACATCTGCTACTCGAAAATCATTCATTCCCAAATCATAAAATCCCCGTTTTCTTCTGATGTATATGTACAAACAGCAACAGTGGACATGTATATAAAATGTAACCACTTAAACATCGCCCACCAAGTGTTTGATAAAATGCCCAAGAGGGACATCGCTTCTTGGAACGTATTGCTTTTAGGGTTTGCTCAATCGGGTGTTGTTGATCAAGTTATGCCACTCTTTAAGCAAATGAGAGTTGAAAGAATTCAACCAGATTCAGTCACAGTGATTGGGATATCACAATCCATTAGAAATAGAGAAGATGTTTGGCTTATGAAAGCTATCCATTCTTTTGGGATTCAAATTGGGGTAGAAGAAGATGTTTCAGTATCAAACACTTGGGTTTCCTCTTATTCCAAACTTAGAGACTTACCCTCAGCCGAAAAGATCTTCCATGGGATCAATTCAAGCTTCATTACAATCATTTCATGGAACTGTTTAATATCAGGATTTGCTTATTTCAAGAAATCTTTAAAAGCCATTAGTCTCTATAAAAACATGCTTTTTGAAGGGTTCAAGCCAGACTTAAGTACAAATCTTAACTTGCTTTCTTCAATAGACAGAAATGAATCACTTATTTATGGTAAGTTGATCCATTGCCATGGAATCAAAATGGGTTTTGATTCAAACATATCAATAAAAAACACCCTAATTTCTATGTACTCCAAATTGGGTGATCTTAATACTGCAAGACATATATTTGATAGCATAAAGGATAAAACTTGTGTTTCATGGACTGCTATGATTGGTGGGTATGCTGAAAAAGGCAATCTTGATGAATCTTTGACCTTATTTCACTCCATGGAAGCAACTGGTGTAAAACCCGATTTAGTTACAATACTCAATATCATTTCTGGTTGTGGAGAAACTGGATCACTTGAAATCGGAAGATGGGTTGAAAACTATGCAAATTTAAACAAACTGAAAACTAATTTAATGGTGTTGAATGCTTTGATAGACATGTATGCAAAATGTGGAAGCATAAAAGAAGCCCATGAAATCTTTTCCTCAATGCAAGAAAGAACCATTGTTTCATGGACTTCAATGATTTCTGGTTTTGCTTTAAATGGTGAATTTCAAGAATCTTTGATGCATTTTTCTCGTATGTTGGAATTAGGAATAAAACCAAACCACATAACGTTTCTTTCTGTTCTTCAAGCGTGTAATCATGGAGGATATGTAAAAAAGGGGTGGGAGATTTATGATCTTATGACTAAAGTGTATAAAATCGATCCTGGATTAGATCATTATTCATGTATGATTGATCTTTTAGGACGTAGTGGAATGTTAAATGAAGCTTTGGATTTGATTCAAAAGATGCCAATGAATCCGGATGTTGGGATTTGGTCTTCATTGCTTAGTGCTTGTAAAATTTATAAAAATGTGGAGATTGGTGAGCTGGCAGCTTGTAATCTTTTTAAAATGGAGCCTCAGGCTGCAGCTCCTTATGTAGAAATGGCAAATATTTATGCATCAGTGTTTAATTGGAATGGAGTTATTGAGATTAGAAGATTGATGAAAAAGAATCAAGTAATAAAATCTCCAGGACAAAGTGTTGTTCAATTGAATGGAAAGAGTTATAAGTTTACAGTTGAAGATCAATTTCATCCTAAAGGATCAGTTATATATGAAGTTTTAGATTCTTTAGGTTTACAGTTGAAAGATGAATTTGATTTATCATATTTACAAGACGTTTTATCATAATTTTGGATTCATATGAGGATTTTGGAGAAGAATTAAAACTAGAGTCAAGTTTGAAATCCTTAAGTATATGATGTTATGAGTAAAGTTTCTTTTTTCTCTATAAATCCTGTTTGATTGAGACTAAATAACCATTTTATCTTTGAAAATTAATGCATCACATAAACAAATTAGAGCTCAAATCTTTTGAAAATTAATCACAAAAACAAATGTATCAAAAAGCATAGTTTGATCATTATTATTCAATATTCATGCAACAGGGAAAATTTCATATTTACTTCAATGAAGCCTTGTGCTACTATCCCAAGAGAAAATGTTATAGACGTGTCATCCTCCGACTGCAGCAGCACAAATGACGAAAATACCCTTTCGTGTGCTGATTCCCAAAAACAGTTAGTAATTTACGAACCTTCTAATGGAGGCGAAATTGAAGTAATCCCAAATCCGATTTCATATAAACCTCAATCATTTCAAAGGGTATTACCGTCCATAGGTGCTTTCACTGCTCAATGTGCCAACTGTTTTAAATGGAGACTTATCCCAAGCCTGGAGAAATATCAAGAAATCCGGGAACATATTACCAAAAAGCCCTTCGTGTGTGAAAATGCTCATGAGTGGCGTGCTGATGTGTCATGTAATGATCCTGCTGATATTGAACAAGATGGAAGCAGACTTTGGGCTATTGACAAGCCCAACATTGCTCAGCCTCCGCCAGGGTGGCAGAGGGAGTTGAGAATCAGAGGTGAAGGAAGCACAAAGTTTGCTGATGTGTACGTGTCCTTAAAGTTTTCTTCCTTCTTTATATGATAAACATTTAAGAATCTAACTTTGGTTGTTATTTTTTTTATGGTAATCAGATATTATACATCCCCAACAGGTGTTACACTGCGTTCAATACCCGATATAGAAAAGTAAATTCTGCACCCAATTATTTTAATATTTCATCACATGTTAAAATTTAAATCGGTTCCTAATAGTTTGTATAAAACAGGTTCTTGTTTAAACATCCGGAATACATTGAACAAGGGGTTACAATATCACAGTTTTCATTTCAGATTCCAAAACCATTACAGGAGAATTATGTAAGAAAACGTCCTTCACGTGCATCATCAGTAGCTTTGCAAGATGATAATCCGTATCTTGAACCTTCCCCAGGTATTATACAGTTCTTTTTTCATATTGTAAAAGTTAAAAGTACATTTCAATATCAGTAAAAAAACACAAAACACATTGTTCATAGGGATAAAAGACAACTTAAGTACATTGCTATTATCATGGGTTAAGTTAAACTGTTAAAAGTTAAAGTTAAACAATTGTCCATAATGGTAAAAAAGCAAAACATGTTGCTATTATGGGTAAAAATCAAAGTACATTGCCTATATTGGTTACAAAGATAAAAACACCTTGCCATTTGTCACAATTTTCCCTAAATATATGTATACTGGTTTTTGTGTTACTTTTCAGGTAAACCGATGTCATTACTAGGTCCAGAGCAGGACACAAGTTTAGAGCTTGATTTGCTTCCATATCCGCGTGTAAAGAAGGCAAGGAGTGCACCAAGAAAACGGATACACAATTTCGACTTGATGTTTAGACATACGTAGGTTTTGGTAATTACAAAGAAGCAAATATTAGAATTAAATCCCACATAATTTTCAACTTTTTTTCTTTTTCTTGTGGTGGTAGCAAACTTTGAGCTCCGAAAGCGGGTTCTTTTTTAGGGTTTTGGGAATATTGGCAAGTATATATTACTAATTTAGTACTATAAGATGGTTTAGTTGTGTGTGTTACTACTCTTGCATATAGTTTGGTTGTTCTTGGGTGATTTTGTAATGTTTGTGTTTGTTTCATGGGACAAGACTCGTTGGACAAGCTTTCTAGGGTTATTTTCAATGTTGAGGATGAGAAGGGGGTTCATGTCTTTTGGACAAAGTAGAGATCAAAAACGTGTCCTTGTTCCACCTTTTTGATGGGAGAAAAAATTGCAATGTTTGTAATATTGTAACAAATAAACTCACACAATTTGTTTTGTTTTGTCATATGTAACAAAATGTTGCAAACGATGTCCCATGATATAAATCCCATTAATATCAAGCACAATCTGTTTTGTCTTTTCTTTCTTATGGAAAAATTTGCTATAATCTTGTAAGTTATGGCCCCATTTATGTTGTATTGTGTTTGACATGCATCGAATGGTGAATGTGAATGATGCAAATAAAATATTTGTATTAAAATAAGGTGTATCATCGACTTGCTCTTGATCTCTTTGTGTACGCAAAATATATGAATGCACTCGTGATCGTCATAATTTACAATAGTTCTATAAGGTTTGATAAGTTTCATCCCATCGAATAAGATCCATTTTGTCTATGATTGGATCTATTCTAGAAATCTTAGGGTGCGTTTGGTTGTAGAAAATTTTTCGGTTTTATAGGAAAAATTTCTTAAAAAAACGGAAATTTTGAAAACGTCTTGGGATCGTTTAGTTTTCCAAAATTTTCCAAGAAAATGAAAATTTTCAGTTTCCAAATTGTATGTAAATTAGAAAAGTGTTTTTTTACAGTTTTCCAAATTTCTAAGATGGAAAATGAAAACTACCCCAATTTCAACCACACGCGTATTCTAAAATTTTCATTGAAAATTGAAAGCGAAAACTCAACTTTATTTTTCAGAAAACATTTTTTCACAACCAAACGCTCCCTTAAATCCTTTAAGCAATTTTGGTTTATAGTTTTAAAGTGAGTAACGTCTCTTTAGGAATAGAATTAGATCCATTTGTGACAATTGTTTTATAGTCTTACTTGTTCGATATGTAACTATGGAAACACATGTCAAGTATCCGTATCATCGAAAATAAAGGTATTTTAGGAATTATATTAATATAATTCATTTTATTTGTAAAATGGATAACTTTTGGGAATACTAAGATGTTGGATAATGAATAGTTTGAATATAATAGCAATGAAGGTTAAAGAATGTGGTCCAAAAAAGTACATGTTTTGAATTTGACATCACTTGTCGAAGGCAAACTAACGGAAAGGGCCTTGAAATCACTAAGTTGGACCACTTTGCTTATAACAAGGCCTTTTAGTCACTCTCTATTATATTATTCTGATTTAATTTAATGATGAGGTTGGTAATTTACGAATCTTCTAATGGTGGGGGCGAAAATAAAGCAATCTAGATCCGATTTTAAAGTAGAAAAATATTAGAAGTATAATGATGTAATAAAAAGAAGTGAAAGTAGGATACGATTATATAAAAAAATAAATGGAAGCACGTAAGCTCTTTCTTCCATTTAACCCTTGTATTTTTAGTAAGCTAACAAAAATATAATTTTGTAGTTAAAAGAACTTAGAAAGTACATCATTATTTCGTGCATCTAACCCGGATTGCATATGATAAACATTTAAGAATCTAACTTTGGTTGCTATATTATTTTGGTAACCAGATATTATGTGTCACCAATAGTTAAATTGGTTCCTAATAGTTTCTATAAAACAGGTTCTTGTTTAAACATCCATAATAGATGTAACAAGGAGTTACAATAGCACAGTTTTCATTTCAGATCCCAATACCATTACAGGAAAACTATGTAAAAAATGTCCTCGTGCATCAGCAGTAGTTTTGCATGATGGTAATCCATATCTTGAAAACCTTCCCAAGGTATTATAGAGTTCTTTTGCATGTGTATCATTGTAATCACATTGCTATTATGGATAAAAGTTAAAAGTACATTTCAATATTAGTAGAAAAAGCAAAACACATTGCTCATATGGATAAAAACTTAAGTATATTGCTATTATCAGTTAATATGTTAAAGTTAAACTACATTGGCCATAACGGTAAAAAAGCAAAACATGTTGCTATTATGAGTAAAACTTGAAGTACATTGTCCATATCCATAAAAAAAACAAGAAGCATGTTGATATTATGGGTAAAAGTAGTAAGTACGTTGCTAGCACGTTTTGAGCTCCGAAAGCGGGTTCTTTTTTAGGGTTTTGGGAAAGGAGGATGCCATTGTGATTGTTGTATTGGGAATTGCATATGGGAAAGAACCCTAATATCCGCAAGTATGTATTACTAATCTAGTACCTATCATTTGGTTTAGTTGTGTGTGTCACTAGTCATTGCGTATAGTTTTGTTGTTCTTGGGTGGTTCTGTAATGTTGTGTTTGATTCATGGGACAACATATTTTTTAGGGTTATTTTCAATGATGAGAATGAGAAGGATATTCATATCTTTTGCACAAAGTAGAGATTGACGTATTCTTGTCCCACCTTTTTTGGTGGGAGAAAAAATTGCAAATTTTATTCTATTCATAACCGTCACAATCTATTGTATGTTAAACTCAACACTTTTTTTTCTTTATGTGTAACAAAATGTTGCAAACTTTGTTGTATGATATAAATTCCATTGATAGCAAACACTATCTACTTTGTCTTTTCTTCCGTGTAGAAAAATTTACTATACTCTCTAAGACTAATTTTTTATTCAAGACAAAACAACAAATGTTATACTCTGTTTGTCGTGCGTTGAACGATGAACGTGAATGATGAAAATAAAACAACAATTATTATTGTCTGTCTCACCAAATGCTCCCATCATGTGTATGAATTGAATCTATTCTAGGAACATTAATACTCCAAAAAATCCCGTTTAGAGTTTTTAAGTGAGCAACGTCTCTTCACGAATAGAATAAGATCCATTTTGCCACAATTGTTTTGTAGTCTTACTTGTTTGATACGTAACTATAAAAACACATGTCAAGTATTTGTATCATTGACACTAAAAGTATTTTAGGAATAATATAATTCATTTTATTTGTAAAAAGGATAGCTTTTGGGAATATTAGGTTGTTGGGTGATGAAAAATTGAATATAAAAGCAATGTAGGTTAAAAAAGGTGGTCCAAAAAGGTTCATGTTTTGACATCTCTTGTCAAGGCAAACAAACGGAAAGGGCCTTCAAATCACCAAGTTGGACCACTTCGATTATAAGGAGGCCTTTTTAGTCACTCTCTAGTGTCTATTATGATTTGATGACGAGGTTACAAACGGGCTGAATTTTGAAGATCTTAGGTTAAGTTCAAATTGATTTCTATGTAATTTGGAGTTTGCTATCATTTGAACCAAACACTGAGATTTAAAGAATGAATCGATTATGCACCAACAATAATATAAGCAATCAAACGTGTAAGCAAGCATCAATAACAATTATGATACCAATTATTGAAAGAAAAACAATATAATCAAATAAAAAAATTCACAAAAATAAAGTTTGCAGATAGACAAAACTGCACAAATTATCTATGTGGTTAGTTGAAAATTATCATTTTGGTCCAAAAAGGTTTTGACTAGCACCAGAGGTCCAAACTTTTCATTTTGTTGCGAGTTTGGTCCAGTTTTTTATAAGCTTTTTTATAATGATTATTTTGCCATTATATTTTTCTTTTTCAGTTTTTTTATTATTTAAATATTTTTTTGATTAAAAGAAAAAATAAAAAAGAAAATTTGTATTTTCTATTTTTTTTTATAATTTTTTATAATAAAAAAAATGAAAAATCTCTCTCTCTCTCTCTCTCTCTCTCTCTCTCTCTCGTTTCTTGCTTACCACCGGCCAAAGAAGAATAAATTGGCAGCTGACGCCGGCCTAGACTGTCCCTTCCCCTCCCATCGGTCAGGTAGCACCAACCCAAACACCTGCATCGATCATTGTTGCCCTTTATCTAAACCTCCATGAGAGAAAGGAGATCAAGATCTGAAAGTTAGGGTTTCTTGGCAGCTAGGGTTTTCAAATGGGGCGTTCAATGACTAGAAATCGATGGGGAGACACATGGGGTTGCTCCGGCAGCTTCTGCTGCTTCGTTCCACAACAACAATCAACGACGGTGATTCCACCACAGCGACGTTGGTGGTAGCATAGGTTGCTCCGGCAACGTTTGCTGCTTAGTTCCTTACTGTACCGACGAGCTCGACGAGAGGGAGGGCAGCGAGGTGATGGTTGGAGCTTGAGCTCATTCCAATTCAACAAAAAAAAAAGAGATTAAAGATGGTAGTGTCTTGCGGAGGCTAAGGAAGAACTCCAATTGCAGTAGTAGCAGGGGCTTTTGGTTGGTGTTTGTTTGACGGAACAGAAGGAAGTGGGTGGTTGGAGTGGTGGTTTTCGGTGGATACAGTGGTGGTGAGCGGTGAAGTGGTGGGTTGTTCTCGGAAGGGAAAAAACAGCGCAGGAAGGGAGAGGGAGGTGGAACCATCGATGGTGGGTGTTTCTTGGTGGCCAGAAAACAACTGCACCTACAGTGGAGTTCTGTTGCTCGAAAATGAAGAAGAAGGAGGATGGATGACCCACCTCCTTTGACTGGTATGGATATGAATAGGGATGACAAAAAAAACCCGAATCCGACGGGGAAACCCGAAACCCGATCATTTCGGGTCGGGTAACGGGTCGTTATCGGGTTTTTTATCGAGTTCGGGGCAGGGAGTGGGTTATCCTCGCCCCGACCCGCCCCGCCCCGATTATATATACATATATATATATATATATATATATATATATATGTTCAAAAAATTTTGCTGTTAATTGTACACGTTCAAATATAAAATACTTATCGTAGACAATTTTTTTAGTTATTAATAATCTGGTGTTAATGATCATTTTTATGTGTTTTGACGTATTAAACAAAACTTAAATCAAATAATTTTTTATATAACATCAAGTTTATTTTATTAAAGTGATGCATCATGTTTTTAATTTTAAAGAGTTGCTAGAACATGTATATTTTATAAAACATTGGGGTACCCTAAAAGAGAATAAAGATTTCATTATCAGTTGTTGTAAACCCGATAAGATACCCGAAACCCGACGGGGAAACCCGAAACCCAATGGGGCGCCCCGATAAGATACCCGAAAGTTATCGGGGCGGGTTTGGGAATCCATGCCCCGCCCCGAACCTGCCCCATTGCCATTCCTAGATATGAATGAGAAGAAGAGAGGGATTGGTGATGAGAGAGAGAGAGAGAGAGAGAGAGAGAGAGAGAGAGAAGAGAGAGAGAGAGGTTTCATTTTAATTTTTTTATTTTATTATAAAAATAAA